TATGTATATTCAGTATCCGCTCGGAATGGTTGCCGGTCCATTCTGGGTTCTAGTGGCTTTAATCTGCCCACTAGAGTGTGCACATGGTGTCCGGCTTTGCCGGCAGATGTTCAGTTTCAGACAGGTGACTTATATCACGAGATCAGTATCAGATTATTCAGACCGGTATCAGATATCAGTTATCAGTTTCAGTTCAGTTCAGTTATATATGCCAGAATCATGATATTGTTATTATTTTCATTATTTTACTTTAGTATGAGTTTCCACGGAGCACAGTGTTATAGTGCTCACGACCCACTTTTATCATGTTTTTCAGGTCAGGATATCGGGCCGGAGGTGTGATATGAGGGATGATTCAGGACTTTTATGCTTGTTACTGTATATATTTTGAAGATGCTATGTTTCCGCTGATTTTGATGTTTTGACGAACTTATCTTTTGATCAGACTTCCAGATAATTAATGTTTTCAGCAAACCGTAGATTTTGCTAAAAAATTAAAATAACGGTTTCTCAGAATAAGTCACGTTTTACGGTAGCACCCCGAATCAGTTTTCGCAAATTAAAAGATTTTATTTTTAAAAGATTTTGCGAAATTACGCACTCTGATTTCACGATAAGGCGGGGTGTTACAATATTCCTCTCTCTGTCAACATCCATTGTATTTGTATCATCACCACCCAACAAATTTTTATGGGCTTCGTCACACCAAACATAGTCTCTATACACTTGTGCTCTCATAATCTCCATACTCTCCCCCGCAACTAAAACCCAAACCACATTTTCATTTTTTCCCATTTTAATTTCCATTTTTCATCGTTTTCTCAAATAAATAAATAATTATATGTCACCCACATTTTCTCCCTTCTCCCTCTATGTCACCCTCATCATTTTTCTTTCCATGTTTCAAGGTACCAAATAAATCTACTAATTTCCATATTATTTATTTATTTATTTATTTATTGGCAATTTCAACTATCTATTTACTATTTAGCACTTACTTAATTTTTCCTAATTGTTTTGTAATACTAATTAGGCGTGTTCGGGACTACATTCACTTTCGTAATCAGATGCGACTACACCGTGTGGCCGGGGATACTCTCCAGCGCCGGCAGCTCCGTCTTGGGCTCCACCGGTTTCCAACTCGAACCCGGTTCGACCCGCTCCTTCCTGGCCCAATCCTCCAGGTCCTGCCGGTTCTGGGGTCGAACCGGCTGCTCCTTCGACCCGTCCACCGGCCAAGGCTCATGCGTCACCAGCGACTGCGTCTCCAACCGAATCGACTGCGACGGGGCCGACGCCACGCCGCTGGCCACCCTCGTCGAGTTCACGATTGGCTCCGGCGGCGCCCAGGACTTCTACGACGTCAGCCTCGTCGACGAGTGCAACCTGCCGGTGATGGTCGAGGCCTCCGGCGGGTTGGGCGCGTGCGGGTCGACCGGTTGCGCAGCGGATCTGAACCGGATCTGCCCGAAAGAACTGCGGGCGGGGGGCGGTAGGGCGTGCCGGAGCGCGTGCGAGGCGTTCAGGAGAGATGAGTACTGCTGCAGCGGAGCGTAAGGATCGCCGGCGAGCTGACGGCCGTCAGTGTACTCGGAGGTTTTCAAGAACGCTTGCCCGAGGTCGTACAGCTACGCGTACGATGATGCCACAAGTACGTTTACGTGTACGGTGGCGGATTATACGATTACCTTTTGTCCTTCACTCGCAAGGTTCGTCAAAGAGAATTCCTTTTTGTGCTAATACCACTAATTGGCCATATAAATTTACAAAACCTAAATTTTAGCCATGTTTTGTAAAAAACATCTTTTTTAGCCATTTTAGTATGTGAAAATACAAAATTACCCCCAACTCAATTTTAATTCCCCATTTCACTTTCACTTCCCCCCAAACACTTTCACTTTCACTTTCACTTCCCCCCAAGTTTTTTTCACTTTCAGCAAAAAAATGGAAAAAAAAAATTGAAAATCTTCATAAAAAAAATCGAAAATCTTCATCCCACGACCTTTGAGATCCCACGACCTCGCCGGCTCGACCTCCGCACGACCTCCGACCTCATTCTGTGGCCACCTCTCCGGCTCCACGACCTCTGACTTCGTCCCGTGGCGACCTCACCGGCTCCGAAGAGATCCCGCAAATCCTTCGCAGCTTCTCGCCGGCTCCGAGGAGATCCCGCCAATCCTCCGCAGCTTCTTGTCGGCTCTAAGGAGATCCCGCCATATCTTATCTGGTCCCTAAAATCAGGTATTTAGGGTTCTTGTCCCTTAGTTTTTTTTATTCAAATTAGGGTTCTTGTAATCAGGTATTGGTGTTATGTATGAAAATCTTGGTTTGGTAAGTGTTCGAGGTAATGTCTCAACGAAAATCGAAATTGTGTTGCTTTGTGAGGATATGAGTGGCTATAGGATATGGGTTTTTCAGTGTAACGTTGTTGGTTTGTCTGCTTAGTTTAGTTGTATTGTTCCAAAAAAATGGGGCTACTTTTTCTTGATAAGGTATATAATTGATATCTCCCTCTTGTTTGTTCTTTGCTAAATGCTGTTGACACTGTGCAGTTATGAAATCTTTCCCATTGCAGTGAATATTGTTGATTTTGGGTCAAATGACAAAATGTAATTGGGCATATGGCTGGATTTGCTATTCAAGTTGAGAATAGCTTAAGTTACTTGCATAAACCCCTTGAAGCTTGTATCTGAATTAAGATGAATTGTTGGGTTTTATATGCATGTAATTGTCATATGGCAAGCCTATTATGTTCACTCAATCAATGTTCGAATGGACTTAAAATGTCTGTAAGAGTTTGTTATGCAGGCTTCTCCTACCATCCGAGTGAAAGCTGTAAAAGAGATCTATATGCTTGTATATTGTATGTTTGTTTGTTGTTGTGGGAATATGGAATGTTAACAAGATTTAGGCCTTACATTTTTTTACTGATTATTCTGTCTGTTTTTTTGGATTTGAGACTAATAAAATCTGTAAGTACAAATTAGCAATGGCTATGAGGGCAATCCCATGCTATTGTTGAACTATAAGGATCGATGTTATTTGGTTTCAAGAAATTTATTATAGGTGCATTCATGCTATTGCACTATATTTTTGCAGGTTCATGTTTAAAACATTGCTCAAATTAAAATTACCTACTTTTAGTCCGCATATCGACTCAAATAGAGGAAAAATGTGCAGATATTCAATAATGTATACATCATCTTATTTTATGGCTACACTTTTGGTTGATGGCTCTAATTGTTTTAATTTTTTTATTTTCTTTTTGTTCAGCTGTGGAGCTACTAAAGAAGGAACAAGTCGACGGGCTTATAATAGGGCCACAAGAATAATAGGGCCACAAGAATCAACACAAAAAACCTGTGTCCCATCATAATGACTTCTCCGGTTAGTTTTTTGTTCCCTTTTTGCTCCAAATTCAATAGTTTGTCATATTCATTTTTTTGTAGGTGTATTAACCTTTATTATATTTTATTATATTGACAATTACAGGATAATAATTGGAAATGGAGGTGGGATAAGGCTTGTAATTGGATAGGTAAGGTAAACTGTCATATGAAGCCTCTAGTCATTCGACATATCAAACAAAGGCTATCTTCCAACTGTCTAGCGGAGTTTGAGCGGTCTTGTTTCGGCCACTTTTTGAAGTTCCACGACAATTCTTATAACAGTGGCAAATTACTTTTGTCACTGTTTGGGAGAGAGGTTGAGATCGACAACCCTCGGGAAAAAGAACGCTATTATCGAATTGGTGGTCGCAACCATAAGTTCGGAAAGGAAGAATTTTGCGCGATCACTGGGTTACAATTCGGCAATAGCGACTTTGACCCGGATACCAATAAGAGCCTCCCACCGGCTAATGGAGTTTACCATCGATATTTCGACGGAAAGACTGTGCTCGAAAGAGATTTGTTGTCGAAGTTTGTTGACTGAGAATTTGAGGACGACGATGCTCTGAAAGTGGCTTTCATACTCATAGTCTTCTTCTACATTCTGTCCCCGGACTCCAGGATGTCGGTGCCAATGTGGTTGTGGACAATGGTTGAAAACACAACAGAATTCGAGAGATTTCCCTGGGGTTTATACGCTTTTCAGCGTCTTCACCACTATTTGAAAAATGGGATTAGACCACCGGTTGGTGGGGGGGAGGTGCAATTCAATATCTGCGGGTATATCATGGCACTTCAGGTAAATATTATTTTTTTTTCATTATTTCATTCTATTTTAATAATGTGGTTTCTTTATTAACTTTGTTTGTTTGATATCTTCCACACAGTTCTGGGCTTGTGAATTGTTTCCCGAAATTGTAAAAGATTTTGGAATGTCACGGCAGGGTGACAACCTTCCAAGGGGCGCCCGATGGACATGTGGAAAGGTGTCATTCAATGGTGCCAATGAACTCGATAATGCTGAGGTAATTCTTGGTTTCATTTAAAATCAATTTCTTATGAAGTGCATGTTTAACTTCATGTTTATTTTGGAACAATGGCTTCTAGGTATATTGGGAGATCGAGCTTTACGACTCCTTTAGCCACCTTTCATCGTCGAAGGCGTGTAATGACCGAGATCTTATGTTGACCCCTCTCCGACGACTGCTTCCCACACTACTT